GACCTCCACAAGAAAAGTTAGAGGCACATCAACACAACGGGTCCTGTCAGCTGCACGACCCAGCAAAGCTCGCTGAAGAGGCAATAAAAGCTCGGAACTGGAGAGGCAATAAAAGCTCGGAACTGGAGAGGAAATAAAAGCTCGGAACTGGTTACAGTTCCCAAGCCCACCCTCAGCTGAGATAATGTTGCAGCAGGAGTGTGTGCGCAGTTCACCATTCATGAATCGGCCACTGCTCAGCGAGCCCCGAGAGAGCTCAGCCCAGCCCAGCCCAGGCGAGGTGGCGAGCGGGGCGAGCAGCGGGGCACAGCCGGGCACAGCCGAGGGGATGAGGGGGGCGAGCAGAGGGGCACAGCSGGGCACAGCCAGGGTGGCGAGGAGGGCGAGCAGCCGGGCACAGCCGAGGGGATGAGCGGGGCGAGCAGCGGGGCACAGCCAGGGTGGCGAGGAGGGCGAGCAGCCGGGCACAGCCGAGGGGATGAGCGGGGCGAGCAGCGGGGCACAGCCAGGGTGGCGAGGAGGGCGAGCAGCCGGGCACAGCCGAGGGGATGAGCGGGGCGAGCAGCCGGGCACAGCCGAGGGGATGAGCGGGGCGAGTAGCCGGGCACAGCCGGGCACACTCCGCCTCTCGGGCTCTCCGGAGCTCCCGGCAGCAGCCAAGGGCTCCCAKCGCTCTCCCGGCTCAGTCCATCGGTCACGGAGAGCGCGGTGCCGAGCTCCTCAGAGCCGAGCATCCYGGCGGGGCTGCTGCTCTCCGGAACGCTCCCGCAGGATCGGGGGAGGCACAGCCCGAGCCCCCCAAAGCCAAGGCTGGCTGCTGAGCACCAAGAGCCCATTTCGGCTGAAGGAGGGCTCGCTGCAATCCCGCAGCACCTCAGCACAGCCCTGCCTGGCGCAGCGGGGGCAGGGGCCCCTCGTTTCCTGCCGGAGCAGGGCTGGAGCGCTGCTGCTGCTGCTGCTGCGGCTCCTGCAGGAAGTGTCTGCGGGATAAAGGGAACGGGACCTTGGGGAGAGGCACTGAGAGGACACGATGGCAGCGTGGGGTGGCCTGCGGGTGTCAGCCACCAGCACAACTGGTGCCCACGGGCACTCACAGGGACCCCATCACACAGAAGCGATGCCAAAACACCTTCCTGGTAACAGCAGTGGGTGGGTAGGAAAAGGAAGGGCGCAAATGTGATCTCTGCCAACAGCAGGCGCAGAGAGTTTGTCCATCTCTCTGTTTTTTTCTTGAAGTCGGTTGTTTCAGAGAGGGGCCCTTTCCAAACAAACCTGGGCTCAGGGAAACAGAGCTGGTGCTTCAGCCCTGGGTGTCAGAGACTGTGGCCTGCACAGCAGTCAGATTAAACCCACAGGGAATCCACTGCTCCTCCCTGGCTGAAACCAGCCGTGCCTTTCATACACACACAGACTTTGCACTGAAATTAAATACCTCCAGAGACATGCTGGCTTCACTCTGCACTCCTCCCGAGCCAGACAAGGCAGATTTACCTGGAAACATGCAATGCCAAAGGAGATTCCGGCCACAACGCTCATTTTGGACTCCATTGTTGATGTTACCAGGAAAAAACAACCCTGCAGAGAAGGGAAAGTAAGCACGTGGGTCCAGTGCTTTCCACTCCCAGTACAAACCAGCAGCTCCCCAAAGCACTGGCAGCTCCAGGGGAAGAGGGGGTGATGGCTGCCCCCTCCCAGCAGATTTCAGCAAAGCCTTTTCCCTACAGGGCTGCCCCAGCCCATCTCCCATCGGTGCCTTATCAAGGGGAGCAGTGCCCTTGGGCTGTTCCCAACCTGAGCAAGGTGACTCATCCTTGCATCACTCAACCATCCCTGTGCGTGAGGTCACACACACTCACCACCGGCTCAGGACTTTGCACCAATGGCAGATGTCAGCACTGCCGAAACAAACTTTATGGGGAAATTGCTTCCTTAGTGACCTGTTCTTCGAAACACGCATCCCCAAAGGCCAGTGCTTGGGTCTGGCTGGTCCCTGATCTTGAGGGAAGGAGTGGGGGAAGCTCAGATAGAAGGGAGGACTCCATATGCTTCCCCTACCTCCACTCCAGGGACGTCCCTGAACATCTGCATCAATAGGGCAGTTCTCCTTTCAAGCCTTCCAGGGACAGACCAGCCCCTCACCCCACACACATCCCTGCCCTCCCCACCTCCAGGACTGGCAGGGGGATTTTTCTGAGCTTAACTTACATCCACAAACACTTTCAGCTTGGCCTTGTTTGGGTCTTTCAGATCTTCCTCCGAGCAGTCGTTCTGGTTCTTGCAGCAGCTCTGGGGGATGCCCCTCTGTCTGAAGTACTCGGTGCTCTCCCAGTCAGAATAGTTCTGCACCCCACAGCAGTGCAGCTGGAAGCACATTTGGGGAGCCTGGTCACACTTTGTTGAGCCTGGTCACACCAGGGAACCGACTCCCTAGTGCCACCATCACTCCCCACCCTTGCCTCTCCAGGACACCCATCTCACCCAGCAGCTCCCAAATTCCAAAGCCTGTGACAGGGACACCGATGGCACAGAGGTCCAAGGGGTCCCTGGGGCAAGGGGAGCATTCCCATCTGTTGCCAGCCAGAGGGAATGGGGCTCTCACCGTTCTCTGGATGGTGTCCACGGCCTCGCTGTGCCGGTCTGCAGTCACGTTGTAGTCCCTCAAGGCCACGTTCAGGTTACTCTCAAAGTTTGTCTTGATCTGTAAGGGAGAGGTGTGAGCAATGCTGCTGTCCCCTCCGCCCCACAGCACCCACATCCCYGCGTTTGTCACCGCTCAGTGATGGCAGGAATGACTCTGGCCACGGCCAGCAGACACTTGCCAGCCCCCAGGCAATCAGAGGCTCTATTAAAGGGCAGGCTGGGTGTGCTGGGGCAGCAGGGATGCTGTGTGTAATAACAAGGACCTGCTCCRTGCCAGMRCCCTCCCAGGCAGGCACAGGAACCCTCCGAGGAGCTTTAATTACTGAAATTATCGCAGAGGATAGACCAAAGCCAGAAATTACAGTCCAGGGCTACACTGCCTGTTGTGATGGAGGGACAAYGTGCCGTGCTGGGCTGACCCTGCATCCGAGTCCTTACAGGGACCAAGCTGTTCTTTGGGCCGTTTTAACCCCATTTTTGTTAAACTAAGCACCGCTCCCAAGCAGTCCTTCTGCCCCTCCAGTGACATACTTGGGTTAAAACCAGCATCAAACTCCCTCTGCAGCACTGGGAGATGTCAGTGGCCACCCAGACTCACCTCGTGCCTGAAGACGAAGCCCACGATGGCGGCCACCAGGACGATGAGGAAGATGAGGGACAGGAGCATGGCATACTGCGGGCAGAAAGGGTGGGATGGGAGGGGGTGGCTGGGATGGGGCAGGACAGGATGGGATGGGATGGGATGGGGCAGGACAGGATGGGATGGGGTAGGGTAGGACAGGAGAGGATAGGGTAGGATGGGATGGGACGGGGTAGGGTAGGATGGGAYGGGATGGGATCAGACAGGAATAGGATGGGGAAGGATGGGACATTTCGGGATGGATCAGGATGGATTGGGATGCACCCAGGGAGGATGGGACCCCATCCTGCCAAGTCCGAGGTCACCCACCAGCTTGAGCATCCAGGTGCTGCCGCGGCAGGTGGCAAAGCAGCCGAAGGTGCCCAGGAGGACCACGACGGTGCCAGCGCCCACCAGGACGAAGGGGACATTGGTGGCTTTCTCGTCCAACAGGGAGAAGTAGACGGCCAGGCTCACCCTGCCCCAGATGCCCACGGCCAGCAGCACAATGCCCGACACCTGGGGACAGGGGAAAGGCGCGGTGTCGCTGCTGTCGCGACAGAGCGGCGCGCCCGCGACTTGGGGAGCGGATAGGGCAGGGCGGGGCCGGCGCTCACCCAGAAGACGAAGGTGTAGGTGAGCAGGACGCTCTTGAGGCAGGTGATCACCGGCTTGGTCTGCAGCCGCCGCGACGGGGACGCCATGGCCGACACGGGGCGACTGCGGGGCCGGGACGGGAACGGGGCGGGACCGGGAACGGGGCGGGAAGGGAACGGAACGGGAACGGGGCCGGAGCAGGAGCGAGAACGGGAACGGAGCGGGGCCGGGAACGGAGCGGGGCCGGGGACGGGAACGGAGCGGGAACGGGAACGGGAACGGAGCGGGGCTGGGAACAGAGCGGGAAGGGGAGCAGAGCGGGAACGGGAACAGGGCTGGGAAACGGAGCGGGAGCGGGAACGGGAACGGAGCGGGAGCGGGGCTGGGAACGGAACGGGAACGGGGCCGGGAACGGGGACGGGAGCGGGACCGGGAACGGGAACGGAGCGGGAATGGGAACGGGAACGGGAGCGGGTCTGGGTGCTTCACAGGAGGAGCAGGAGGATCGGGGGCACCTTTCCCCCCGCTGTAGCCGGTGGGACTCTGCCTCTTCTCGCGGGCAGCCAGTGGCAGCATGAGAGGACACGGCCTTGATCTGCGCCAGGAGAGGCTTAGGCTGGACATTAAGAAGAAGTTTTTCACAGAGAAGATGATTTGACATCGCTCAGGGAGGTGGCGGAGTCACTGTCCCTGGAGGTGTTTAAGGCAAGACAGGATGTGGCGCTCAGAGCCATGGTCTGACACACGGTCGTGTTGGGCCACAGGCTGGACTCGATGATTTCAGGAGCCTTTTCCAACCTAATTGATTCTGTGATTCTGCTAAGTATTTCCGATTTGTGGAGTGTGAGCTTTCCAGTGCACCCGTGGCTTTCCATCCCGGGTTCATGCCCACATTCACTGCCAGGGAGGTGCAGAAGCCAAGGGGATTCACTCCAGAATTTCAGCAAAATCCTGATCCTTTTCTCCAGACACTGACTGGAGCTTGCTATCTTAAATGGAAGAACAGCCCCACTCCTGTTCTTTCCCTATTAATTAAAATGCTTTGATTTAAACCTGTTGCTCTATTCCTACAGCTCAGCTCCTGTG